ACCCTAACCCTAACCCTAACCCTAACCCTAACCCTAACCCTAACCCTAACCCTAACCCTAACCCTAACCCGCGCACGCGTCTTCAACCATACAAATTGGCCGTGGCAGATGGTCGCACCCAACGCTCCGTAGAAAGACACCCAGCACTCATGCGCATAACGAAAAACATGCTGAAACACAATGCCCAACGGCTTAATGTCCATACTGAGAAGAAGCGGCCTTTCACAGCAGTTGTGGCTCACTGTGTGCGTAAACCGCGAGACGGCCTCCACAAAACAAACGCACACGCCGCCAGAAGCCACACACCAATGGACGAGGAGAAGAGAGACACCGTCACCGCCTCCAGCTCAATCCCACGGCCAACGGCATACGGCCACAGCCCGCTGCCGGCACACAACGCACACGGAGCAAGCAACCACCCAAAGAGCCGCACGCAGTAGTGATCCCTCATCCACCCATGACGCGGCGCCTCACTCCATGCGGTCAAACGGAGCATTGTTTCCTCAATAGAACTTATCCGTCGTCCATCCCTTAAAGATGCTTCTCTCAACGATCGGTCCTATAACAAAATAGAATAAAAAGGAAAATGTATTAACACTACGATACAGCTAAAGACAGTAATTCTCTCATAACAAAGCAATTCTCTTATTACGTCTTGCATACGAACAGAAAGATTCACAAAAAAATCCTTCAATATTTTATTACCATTAATTAAAATGCCTCTTGCATCCCTAATTTCTTTTTCCGTCGTTGTGAAGGAATATCGCGTTGTAATTTTTTGGCATCTGTGTGCCTTACTACCAAAAGAGATGACGCACCTGCACCGCATCCAAATATAATTATCCATCAATATGAAAAAAAATTAAATATGCTTTTTACCAGAAACCAAATTGCCCTCTTACCTCCCTAATTCCTCCTGATGATTTCCCACTGCTGCTTCTTGTTTCTTATCTGTAGTTGACTCCTTAATTGCATTTAGTTTTTCGATGTCTTCGGGCGTCAAAATGAACTGGTACTGGCGTACCTTTTTATCCCAGAACGCCACAATTTTTTTTTCCTCACGGCTTCTGGGATTGACGTAATCACATCTCTGCCAGTTTTCCATCGGCTTGCTGTCTGCGTGTTGTACATAAATAATATCCCACGACAAACCTTGAGCAAATTCCTCCCAATTCGTAAAGAACCACGATAGGTACTCAGTGAACTGCTTCACAGTGCTGGGTTTTGGGGTGG